TTTCGGTGCCTCAGGCACTGCGGGGCCCGCGCGGCCCCCCGGGCTACAAACGCTCTGCCTCGGGGCGGCTCTTTGTGGCCCCGGGCGAGCAAGCATACTTCTTGGCTGGTGGTGGCTACTAGTGCCGCTGCCTCACAGACCCTTCCCGGCGACTACCTGGGAGCTTCAGCCACGACAAAAAGGAAAAAAAAAAAAAAAAAAAAAAAAAAAAAAAAAAAAAAAATGTAGGGGGGGGGTGTGTGTGTGTGAAACCGATGATGCCTGAAGGTCTGTCTCCACGTAACCCAAATGGGTATCTGCGACAGCTGTTCACTTCCAGTTTGTTTCGTGTGGGCAGATGCTGAAGCAGCAAATGCCGTAAGAATTAGCAGGAGTTATGTGTGTAACAATATAAACTGAGGACTGACTGACACTGAAAGGGGACTGCTGTCTCACCCTGCTCATGGACTTTCTGTGACCCTTTCTGAGCACTGTCTTTGTCTCATACAATGCTTTTCCAGTAAGGAAGTGCTTTGCAGATTTCTAAAAAAAACTAAACCTCTTTTAGTAGAGAGAAGGATTAAGCTTTAAAGAGTTGATCTCTACTAGTTGTAAAGAACTTGTGCAAATTAAAGGACTATTTCTATCCCTCTTTCCAGAGAGAAGTTAAAAAAGGAACAAATATGGCCAGCGGTCACAGACCTCCAATAGCTCGTCCTTCTTCAAGAGCAGGAATAGGGCTGACCACAAGGCCTACCTCTTCATCACGGACTCCATCAGCAACCAGAATAGGAACAGGGGTATGCTAAAAAAGTTGACATTAACTTTGATATATTTAGATTTTTATCCGTTTTTTGTAATATTTTTAGTACCGTGACTAGAGTGATGGTTTCTGAGGAATGATTTTAAGATTTTAATTCTATAGAGAGTTTTATTTTCTAATTTTGACTGAAAGGGGTCAAGGAGGTCTTGCATTTCACCTGGGAGACCTTAATAGCATTACTGTTGTGGACAGAGGGAACAATGAACAACTGCTCAAAGGTAATTTCTCACCCTTCTGTGGGAACATTTGACTGAATCTTTGTTTCCTTGAAGAGGTGTAAATGCTAAAGGATTCTTACAGGAAACATATAGAGACTAACTTAAGTTTTTAATTGCTTTGTCAATTGCATAAGGATAATAAATACACAATTCAGAGTTGGTGGTTTGTGTTTTGGTTTTTTTATAGATGCCTCCTAGTACATCAAGACCCGGTTCTCGTGGTGGTTCTTCAACTACTGGAGGAGTCTTATCATCTCAGATTAAAGTTGCAGACCGTCCAGTGACTCAACAGGGATTAAGTGGAATGAAAACTGCAATGAAAGGTATTTTTTACTGAAAATAGCTGTCAAGGTGTCTGAAAACATCTTAAAGGAATACTCAGGTTTTTGAAGGAAAACTTTTCATCACTGTATAAATTGCAGAGTGAATAGCCATGATAATAGGAGTGGGAGAAAGGAAAGGAAAATTAAAGCATCCCTCTTATTTTCTTTGCTCTTGGCAGTTAGAGAAGACAAGGGCTTTTCTGTGCCTGAACTGTCTTTAAAAATCATTCAAAAGAATAGAACAAGATAAATTGTGTCTTATTCCATCACTGAAGAATAATTAAAATACTGTGTTATATCATAAGTAGTCATATAGCTGAAAAAGTAAAGTTTGTCCTCACAACAGTCTAAATGAATTTCTGCCCTCATTGGTTTTAATGAGGTAAAATCTGTTTAAGAACACTGAGAAGATGGCAGTTCTCTGCCTGCAAATTCTGCAGATTGTTTTCATAATTTACAGTTCATCAAAATGTCATCTTACTCTCCTTTGTCAGGTCCTCAGAGACAGATAATGGATAAAACATATTACCTTGGGCTGCTGAGGTATGTCTTAACAACACATTCAAACTGCAGAAGCTTTCACGCTCTGTTCCCTTTCTGGCATGAAGTTTGTTGTGCTTAACAATAGCGTGGAATCAGTGGTGTTCACTTATAATGGAATCTGTCCTGTTACAAGAGTTAAGGTCATTTTGCCTATAGTTTGTAGGAGGAAAGGAGTTTTGCACTTAGGTCCAAGTACAAGTAGATTCCTTTGACATTTTGTTAGTAGGCTTGCTAAGTTAAATGCACTTCCACAGCATTAGTAAAAGGAGGGTCAATGATTTTGAGCTTCCATCTGTAATGCTTGATAGGTTTGATAGCTCCATTTGTAAGAAGTAGCATCTCAAACTAAGTACTTTTTAGTGTACATTTCATGTGGTTTACTTGGATTATATGTTGAGCTAACATTGACAGGGGCAAGGCCTTGCAGAAGCTGTATTGCGTATGCTGCTTTGTCAGTTGATCATATTGCAGTATTGAACAGTCTGTCCTAAGAGATGTAATTTTAAATATGGATGTTATCCACATTTTGTGAAATGATACCATGATTTTTTTTTCTTGTCCGTTTGAGAACAATTCACATCTATTTCACCAGCAGGGACAAAAAACTAATTAAAATATTTTATATTATACCCAGGTTTTCTAGCAACAGCTTATGATTTTATCCAATAGAACCACTCTAGTTTTTTCCTCACTTATCCAGCTCTTCTTTGAAATACTGGCTTGAAACATGGTGCAGTGTGAGGAAAAGATACTGATTGCCCATACCCTGTAGTAAAATATAATTTCTGTTTTATCTGTGTTTTAGTTGTGAGTTCAAATGTTAATGATTCTTTTTTTTATCCTTTTTTTGTAGAGGCAAAACAAATGAACTCACAACAGAAATTAATAAGCTGCAGGAAGAAGTAGAAATGTACAAGCAAGAGAAATCTGTGTATTTGTCATATGAAAAAAGGTGAGATGCATTGCAGCTAATGCAGTGCTAACTTTCTCAGTCACAAGACTGTTCTCAGGTATTGTGCAGGCTTCAAGGAACCTGAAACAAGAATGAAATAGTTCTTGTTTTCATTATTTTATTTTTACATATATGAGTCTTTCCATCTTAAGTTTGACTTTTTGGTTTGTATTTAGGGCAGAGGCTTTAGCTGGTGAAATCAAAGAATTTCAAGGTCAGCTAGCAGACTACAACATGGTATGCTATTGTCAACTTTTGATACTGAATGCTCTCCCTTCTCTTATTTACTTTGTACTGCTTTTGCTTTACTTCAGCGTTTTTTTAATGGACATTTCTCTGTAAAAATGTACTTGTTAATACTGCTTTTTATTCAGTTTTTGGAAAGGAAAAAGATGAAAACTAAGGAAGACAAATGAAAAAAAAAGGAAGCGTACTTCCTTTACATTAGGAAGCGGTTGCATATGGATTTCAGAAATTACTGCCGTGTGTTGTCTGTGGATTTTGTACAGCTATGAATAATGATGATTACTTCTGAAAACTGCGTTGTAATCTATTCAGATTCCCAAATCATGGTTTTTCCATTTGCAATAACAGAAAATTTCTGTGTTTTCGTGAGCACTTTGTGAGTTGTAACCTATTTGTCTGATTTTTTTGTGTGTAATTAAGAAAAAGGAGAGCAATAACAGGTTGGAATTCTGTCTGATTTCAGGTTGTGGATATACTTAACACCAATACGGATATGGCAGAAGTGATTCGAGATTACAATATGGTATGAATTAGGATATTTGCTATGTTTGAACAGTGAAATGGTGTGTGTTGCATTCTTGGTTCTTTGAACGTGTGACATATCTAAAAGAGCACAGCACTAAAGCCGTCCAGAGGGACCTGGACAGGCTGGGGAGGTGGGCCCAGGTGAACCTCATGAAGTTCAACAAGGCCAAGTGCAGGGTCCTGCACCGGGGCTGTGGCCCCTGCCTGTGTCAATACAGGCTGGAAGAAGACATGCTAGAGCGCAGCCCTGTGGTAAAAGATGTGGGGGTACTGGTGGATGAGAAGCTGGACATGAGCCACCAGTGTGCAATTGCAGCCCAGAAGGCAAATCGCATCCTGGGCTGCATCAAGAGAAGCGTGGCCAGCAGGTTGAGGGAGGTGATTCTGCCCCTCTACTCTGCCCTCGTGAGACCCCACCTGCAGTACTGCGTCCAACTCTGGATCCCCCAACACAAGAAGGACGTGGACCTGTTGGAGCATGTCCAGAGGAGGGCCACAGAAATGATCAGAGGACTGGAGCACCTCTGCTGTGAAGACAGGCTGAGAGAGTTGGGGTTGTTCAGCCTGGAGAAGAGAAGGCTCCAGGGGGACCTTATAGCAACCTTCCAGTGCCTGAAAGGGGACTGTAAGAAGGCAGGAGAGGAACTATTCACAAGGGTTTGTATTGATAGGACTGGAGGTAATGGTTTTAAGCTGGAAAAGGGTAGATTTAAGTTGGACATTAGGAAAAAGTTCTTTAAAACGAGGGTGGTGCATCACTGGAACAGGTTGCCCAGAGGGGCCACATCCGTGGAGACATTCAAGATCAGGTTTGATGGGGCTCTGAGCAACCTGACCTGGTTAGAGGTCTCCCTGCTTATTTTAGGGGGGTTGGACTAGATGACCTTTAGAGGTCCCTTCCAACCCAATACGTTCTATGATTCTAATTTAAAACTTACTAATTTTTCCAGTGAAATTAACCATAATATTGGCAATGTGTTTGTAACGAGACAGTTATCTGAAGTGTTGCATTAACAGCCCCATGATAGTTTTCTGTGTTTTAGAATTGAGAAGGCCTAACCCAAATTATGAGTGCTTTTTATTTGACTTGGAAGCATAGAACACTAGTCTTATGAAAAGCAAATTCGCTATAGTGCACTGCCTCACTGGTCTTCTGGAAATTTAGTTCTTGTTTGTCTTCTGCCTTTTAAATGACTCTGGTGTAATAAATATTTAATAGATCTCAACACAGCCAACGACAAAATCAATGAGCTTTGTTCTTCCTTTCTTTCTTTGTTTTCTAATACAAATAGAGTGTTCATCTAAGGATTAAGGTGTGAGTGGCATTAAGCATGTTCCATTTCTTATGATCACTTTGTCCGTAAGCAAAAGATACTAGTTTTAGAAAAGGCTATTTTGGTAGCTTGAAAAACCACACAAGTATTTTTTTGTCGAAACAATTTTTTTCTCCTTGCATTTGATTGGAAAATAAAGTCACAATGTCTGTGTCACAGAGAGAAGCATGCTTTGCAATTATTACATCTTCATTCTATCTGTAGGCTTAAACAGTATTTTACTAAGTGTTCCAGGAATAGATCCCACAGTAGCAGTAACTGAATTGGTTTGTTACAAATTTAGTTGTATTTCTTTTTCAAACACGGAGATGCCTTCTTAACTTCCATTGGTTTCCAGTGGAAGACTGCAATTTCAGGTCTTTCTTCAGTATCAGCTGCAAAAAACCCCTGGAGGAGGTGGCCCCTGCTGCTCCTTCCTCTACTGAATTCTGAGCAGCTTCTTGCTCATTTAAAGGAAACTGAATTTCTGTATAAAATCTGTATCTTTATTATTTTATATTATAACAAAATATCTTTTTTTTTTTTTCCTAAGTTAAAGGTTCAGAATGACCGAGATGCTCAGAGTGTGGATAAAATTTTCACAGAAAGACAAGCGTAAGTACAAGAAGTGTATGCTTCTCCAGAGCTGTTAAAATCACAACTGAACTTGGCGAACTTGAGGTGTTATCTGATTCAGAAGTTCCTTAAGTCTGCAACGCATGCCACAAGCGATACCTGAGCAATTTCAAGACGGTGCATCAGTGCCAGGCTGCAGCGGGAATTCCTAGCTTTAAACTCTTCTGAATAATGCTATGGAGATAGTTACCATGTCATCCAGGAGGAGTTAGGTGGCAGTGGAGACTTCTGTCTTTTGGCAACCTGCTGTCAAGTTCCTGAGTTTTGGTGGTTGTACTGTGGAGTAGTGGAGTGGGTAAAGGAAGCAGAAGTGAGAACTAGAACTGAGATTCCTGTCTGGTAAGGGTGTGTGGAGGAGAAGACAAGGACAGTGAGATGTTTGCAGTAGGAATTTGTAAGCCATGAGAATGGTTTATATATTGATGGGCTGAGAGGGTGAGTTTCTGAGATGTTTAATTTAGGGACAGGAGATGTGCAGGAGAAAGAGATATGATCCTGCTTGTGGCCAGTTGGAGCAATCTCAACAGTGAGATTTTATGTATAAATAAGCACTTTAAAAAAAACAATTTACCACTTAATAATAAGTCAGTTCAATGATACTGTAGTTTTCGACAGCTTGCAAATGTGTCTATTCTACCCCTGAATGCACTTTTAAGGAAATATGAAGAGAAAAAACTTGGTTCAGTAGCAAACTAAGGCATAAAGGCATTAGATATGCAGTAATGATACTTGTTATTGTACTGTATGTAGACACATTTAAGTGAATGGATCAGTCGGTCTTTCTTCTCTTCTAATTTTGGTTAAACCCCAAATGCTCTGTTCTCTGATTGTGTGAGTTTTGCCTGACAGACTACTGAGCTGTGACACCATTGGTTTGGATTCAGGCCCCACTCTGGCTGTGATCTACTTCAGCATTTTAGAGAAATAATTTTTCCTTTTTGGACTTCTTCACAATTAAAGCATTAGTGATTATGCTTTTTCACAAGCTAGTTTGTAAAGGCTATTTCATGTTAAGCAATATACAGTAAGCTCTCCCCCCCCGCCGTAAGTAACCAAATAGGTTTTTATAAAAGGTGGATTATGAGTATTTTTTTGCATGTTTTGAAGTATTTGTGGTGCATGCACATCGCCACATTTTTAGCTTCATAATTCATGCAGCAATACGTTGTTACGGATTTGACGAGATGAAAGGAGATGGACAGCTTAACTTTATTTTGTATTGTACATAAGTAGTGTAATATGGAAGTACAAGTGTACTACAGCTTTGAAAAGTCAGTTCATCATCCGTTGTTTAGACATTAACTCTCCTCAGTTTCATAAGAATCTATGTATTTATCCTCAATAAATCCATCTTCACCAGGTACAAATGCAGGGATTTTCTCGAATATTACTATGGGATCGTCATTGTTTGTACCTGATGCTCTAGGAAAAGAACTCATGTCTGCTGAGAATTCCTGTTCAAACATCTCTGAGTCATTTTCTTCCAGACGACGGTGACTGTAGCTGATCAAATAGCGATACCATGTTGGGCATTTTATAGCAGTGAATATCAGGAGTGTAGTGCTTAGGACAAATGCTAGGACACCTGCTAGGAAGGTCCAACTTTTGCCAGGAAGTGGTAACTCTTTAAAACAGACAGGAAGAAAAGAAGAGTCATCTTCATGAGGAATACCAGCAAGACTCTAGTGTGAATGTTTTCATAGTTAAATTGAGAACTCCAAAGCTTTAGGAGAATGTTGTTGCTGTTATTAAAGAGTCAGTAACATCTCTCATACCAAAAATACTAGTATATCTCGTATTTCATAGCAATATAAGTCCACCATGCATATGTATTAAAAATAATGGTTTCAAAGTCAAATAAAGTTACGGTGACATATAAAAGATTTTTCAAAATTTAAATTCCAAGATTGGGCTTTGGAGAGAAAAAACAAAGAAGATTAGTAATTGACTTCAAATTTTATTTCCCAGACTTAATTTTCTGTATAGCGATGATGTCTGCATCCTAAAATATTACATCTTTTGTTTGGCATATCATTTCAATCGTATTTCTTTTGTAATAAAATTTTCAATAGACTAAATGGCAATAATCTGTATTTAGAAGCTGCATTTGTGTGCTGGCCACTGTCCTAAAATACGTTATAGCTGCTACAGCAAAAGAAGTGTGTGGCAGTGGTGGCTTACAATTTGTTTATATATCTGGAGACTGATATTTCTTCTGCTTTAGCCAGAAGTAGAGCATTCAGGTATGGAAGAATGGAGAACATTAATTTGCATGTAAGAAAAAAAAAATGTTCCAAAAGAAAAGCTAGGGTATTACAGAGTGATGATGGAGTTAACATCAAAAGGTGAAGAAAAGTAAGGAGACTGTCACTGAAATTTTCAAAGAATATTGAATGGGCACATTTGTGTCCTCTACACTGAACACAGTTGAGGGCAGGAGTGAAATTAATAGGCTCACTCTTTCATTTTTTAAGAGACAGCTATGTCTAGAAAGCAGTTACTTTGGAAGAAGTGTAATTGAATTTTTTTTTTAAGATGCTTCCCTAGTTCTGGTAGTCAGAGATCTGGACAATTATCTGAAATTCAAGCGTTTGATACTTCATCATCAGCTTGTAGTATCTAATGAGAATTCAGGTGTGGCTTATCCATTTTGACCACTTATTCAGTAGAGCTTAACATTCACCGTAATGTGTGTGCAGTCTACCAACACCTGGAAATACACTTGTTCCATAGCCCTGGCTTTTATGGAAGAATTACAGTGTACTAGGAATACAAAAATGTATGAAATCATAGAAAAGCAAATCAAACAGCTTGCAAGTAGTAAAAGTGAAACATCAGTATATTACCTGCATGTGTTCCATTGTTTTCAGTGATGTTATTTGGAGTCAGACCTGTTAGTAAGGCACTACTTATAAGCTTAATGGCAGAAGTGGAAGTTACAATGTTTTCTAAAGGAGCTTTTTCAATTTTGCAGTCAGCTGGTTGGGTAGGTGCCATCTTGATGGAGAATTTTCTCTTGGCATTTGGAAATGTACACGTAGTGTTGCTTTCATTTTCTGTGAATGTGAGCAGTGGAAAGGCTATGAGACATTGTTAATTAATTCACATTCTAAGCTAAAAAAAAAAAATTATGGATAACTAATGTATTACTGCAAAATACAGATAAGTTGATGGTGGGTATTATCCAGATCAGGAAAAAAAATATAAGGCTGTTTGATATAAACGAGTATGAAATGCTGCTCTTACCAAAACTTACCCATTGTCACATTGGAGACAGTTAGCCATATCTGTAAATCAAGGAGGTCACAGGAGCAGGTCCATGGGTTTCCAGCTAAAGCAATTTTAATCAATTTGAAAGATGATTTTACATGAAAAGATTTCAGGAAGTTATACTGAAGGTTTAAAACTGTCAGATTTTTTAGAGAAGTAAATACATCTGAATCTAGTTGAGTAATCATGTTATAGGACAAATTCAGCACTGACAGTTGATTTAATCCTGCAAATGCTCCTTTATGAACTGTGCTAATATGATTGTTGCTGATATCCAGAGTTACAAGTTTTGCCAGATTGCAGAAGCTGTTATTATACAGTACAGTGATCATGTTTTCATTCAGATAAAGTTCAGTGAGGTTAATAAAACTTTGAAGAATCTCTTTGTCACTGTCTTTTAAAGCAATTTTATTGTTTCTGAGGCTTAATTTAGTAATGTTTTGGAAAAAGTTAGTGGGGATATTAGAGAGGTTCTTTCCAGATTCCTCACAAGTGGCCTGTTGAAAAAAAGATAATAACAACTATTAAATACTGTAGGGAGGTTCATGATGAAGGTGTCTCAGTGATGACTATTAAGGGCATAAAAAATCTTTTTTGTATTTTTGAATGCTTGCACTTTAAAAGAAAAGTTCTACTGGTCTTCATGCAACTTTATTTATGTTTTTCTTAATATACTCATGGTCTGGTGATATAGGGAATGAATCCTCCTAGTGTGTAGAGACCTGAAGTTCCATATGACTTAGTGCTTAAACTCCGTTTGAGATGCAAGTCTCTTTCTGTGATGATCATTCAAAATATAACCAATTTGGTGTGCTACTTTGGAATTAGTAGGGCTGTCTGTTTCAGAATTCTGTTTTTCTCTGAAAAAAGTTTAAAATTTCTTATATACATTTGGACCTGACTTAGGTGCTGACAAGTTCTAACTCAATAAATCTCTCTAACTTGAGTAGTAGTTGGCTTTGTCCAAATAACTGTTGCTTTTTAGGTCTATTCCAAAATGATGTAAAGGAGGCACTCCAGTTATCTGCAGAGAGATTTGACAGACACAAAACCATGTCTTCTTATTTGTCTCTATGTGCTTCTTTCTTCAGGAATTTTATATTTACTAGGTAGTTTTTAAAATGCCTTTAGCTTCTAATGTATCTTTCAAAAATAAGCATAATTTACATATGTATAAAACTTACAGTTTGAGAAGTAATGTTGCAGTCAGCAGTGACTGGATTCAAAAACAGTGTTCCAGCCCAGGTCACAAGCCAAGAGAGTTTCATGTTTAAAGCCTAGTGAAAAACAACACTTTTGTATAACAAGACCAGAATACCAGTGTCTTCTGTAGTGGTAGTTTAACAAATTAGCAGATATAGTTATTTCAATGATAATTTAATAACTTGTTCTACATAAATACTACAAAATGTAAAACTAAGAGGAAAGTCATAAGTTATCAGATTTAATGCATTCATCTTTCACTTAATTGAGGCAAACCTGAAATCCAGTGAGCAGACTGTATCGGCAAATGGACAAAGGAATAATTAGACATGTTAATAGAAGCGTAAATGCATAAAACACATAGGCAGGGATGTACTCATTAATATCCCTGTTAAAGCAGTTGTGGGTACTGGAAGACTATATAGGAGTAAACTGCAGGAAGTATTCAGGCCTGCATGCTCTCCCTAAATAATATCTCTTGTTGCCACTGATAGAGGCAGAATACTGTGCTAGATGGATTGTTGTTTTATACAATCATATTTCTCTTATGTTCTTACATAAGTTATTAAGCCTTTTTTTTGTGAATTTTTAATTAGTAGATTGATCTTGTAATGTCTTATCCATAATGTAACGTATATCATATGACATAAACCTGGACCTCTGTATTATGAGGTGTAGCCGTTGCTCTGATCTTTGGAACTAAGTAAACATGGTTCAATCTCTTGTGCTGGAGTTTTTGTACAGCTTTGAACCTTATTTTTTAAGAGTCAGGAGAGCATTTCTGAGAAATGGTATTCACTGGAACTTTAATGTTTCTCAGAGAAAGTGTCAGTCCGTCCTCTTTGAATCAGGCATTATTTGCAAGATCTACTCATTTTGAACAGGAATGTTAAACCATCTCTGTCAGATGTTAAATCAATCCCTGTTTATGCTGGACTTGAAGTAAAACATTATGCAAAATGTAGATTATCCCTTCATTTTTACAGTTTTTCTTAAGCATCTGAAGAGAAAAGATAGTGGGCTAAGTGAATCTCAATGTCTCGTCCTTCCCAGGTATCTATCTTCCAGATTAAAAAAGATCCAAAAGATAATCTACAAGATAGTTGTTTAAGTTGCTCTTGTATCTTGAGCTGTAGAGAGTATTCACTGAATTTAACAGAGAAGGGTGGGGGAAATTACATAAGGAAGCTCAATTGCATGAACGATGCTAAATATAGGCAGCCAGTAAGATTTAAGAAAACTCCACCCCTCCTTAAAAAGAGTCCCAGGAGGCCTTTCCTGATCATTGTGGAGTAGATGAGTCACGGAACAAATTGGTCAAGTCTTATTGCCTGCTTCTGTACATTTGTGAGTCTGAGGACTGACCTCATTCACCTAGCTGAATAAGCCTGGAAACTTACTAGCTTCTTGGAAAGAAGTAGTTAAATGCCACTTAAATTGCTCTGATCCATTGTGTATTTCTACTGCTGTTGGAAATTTACACTAAGTACAAAAAGAGTTTGTAAACCTTTTTGTTTAACATTTTCAGTGGCAGGGACAAGGGGTAATAGCAGCAGCCACTGTGGTATTATATTCTGTATTAACTGTTGTTCTTGTCAGTGATAGTTCTGGGGGCCTGCATACTTTTAGGAGCCAGTTTGTAAATTGCTAGTAGAAACATGATACATTTTGAGAACTCCCGATACAGACTATGTTAACAGTCGGATCTTGTGGCATACTTGGACCTTAAAGATACCGCTTCCAAGATGTCCAGAAACAGAGCAGGCCTTAACCAGGCAATCTAGAAATACAGATTAATAGTGTTACTGTAGTTTGCAGATTTCAAGAAAAATACTGTCTTTAATAGAGTGGGAAAAATTTATTAAAATATTATTTTAAAAGTTAATCTGTAAATTAATAACAATCAAGTTGAAACTTAAAGTTAATTTAGAAGTGTTTCAAAACTTCAAGCAAAAAATTAGTGTCTGAGTGAAGGGGATGCTATTAACTTGAAAAATCTTTCCTGTCTAAAAATTCACTCTACATATGTCTAAGTCAAAAACATGGTTCCTATTTTTTACTTTAGTTTCTACTGAAAAGTTAGGGGGGTTCTTACAAATTTGGTTTCCTGCATTGTGTGTGTGGCAACCTCTCTAATCAGTAGAAGAACAGGAAAGCGTCTGTGATTTTAATTGCAGTTTAGCTTTTTACTAGAACCAGACTATAAGAATTGCTGTTTAATGTAATTGCCTGAAAGAAACTAAGCCTGGTAACACGTTGGTAGTACCTTGACATTTCCTTGTAGTTAGAACCATTTTCTTAAGAAGGTTTCCTTAGAGAATTTTTGAAGATTTTATCGCTTAATAGTCATGTAATTCCTATTGTTTTTCTTATGTAAAAATAAAGGTAGATTTGGGGAGGTTGTATAATCAGGTACCATGGTTTTTCAGAGAAGAAATAGTCTGTTCCCTGGCTTGCTACTGAAGTATGATTTACTTAACAACTTGGCATGTCCAAGGTTCATAGTAATTCCTGAACTTTTAATGTATCTCCAGATATATTTGTTTTCAGTCTAACAACAAAGTTATACTAATAAATCTGCCTACATTTTGAAAAAGATGTGCCAAGTGTCTTACCTTTCTGTTGCTTCTTAGAGGCAGCATATGTACACATGTAGATCTTTCAATGCACTGACAAGAAATAATATGGTGCAACAGCACTTTGTTTTTGTTCAACCTTTGTACCCCATGAACAAGCAGGCAGTGTAAAAAAAATAATAAACCTAGAAAATCTTTAGCAAAAGATTGACTAGGTTGAGCAACTTCTTATAATCATCTTGGATTTAGTTTGATCTGCAGCCAATAGGGAAGTCTAATAGTAGTATGCTCAAGTGTCAAGTTCCAGATCATATGGGAGGCACTGAGTTAAAATGCCACAGGGAATTTACAAGCAAATTGGGTTATAATCAATTAAAGAAATTCTGGAGACAGAAAAAGACTTTTTTATGCAATCAGTCATCAAATTAAGAAAATTTCAATGTATTTGCATACTGAAGTAGAGACTTTAGTAGTTAGTTAAATCTGTATTAATTCTTGTGTTTTGGAAACATCGTCAGAGGAGCTGTGGGGTGTGATGCGTAAACCTCATTATTTACAACAAATTACAAGCACTTAAGAACATCTGTTATATGGGCTATATTTCAGGAAGAAATTCTAAAAACAAATGATACTTGCTTTGCTTTGAGGGCATGTCTATATGCGGATTGAAAGAGAGATTATACTGACACACAAATACTACATCCAATAATTTTTTCTTGCATTGGTGCTCATTCTGTCCAATCCACAGCATCAAACTGTAAAATGGTTCCATCTCCTCTCATTTTCCATTCCTCTCACATATGTGGCTGTAGAAAGCATTTTACTTCACTATCCCTCTGTGATGTTATTGCCACTTCAATTTTTTGCTTAATATCTCAGAACATTCTGCAACTTTTCCAAGCCTCATCCCTGATTCAGCTTCATCAGTAGTCTTCAAATTACTTGCAGTAATGAATTGTCTTCCTGTGACATCCATTGCTGATATTTTTATTGCTTCTTAGAAAATCGCTAAGTTTTAACCTTCTATGAAAACATTTTTACCAAAGAAGATGCATCACAACTGAACCAGACATTACTAGTCTTAATGACATACTGGATTACCTTCAAGTATAGCCAGTAGTCCATATCACATAAGAAAAAGAGACTTGCCTCAGGTAAAGAGGCTATTCTGTGATGTGTCTGCGTGCAGTTTACATCAGTGGCACTGGAAAAGTAGGTGTTTTTTCCTTACTCTGCTATGCATACTTGCAGTGTCAGGCATAATGAGAAAAATCCAGTAGAGCTTGGAGACACCACTGCCATCAATGGTGGCAGCTGCTTCCACGTTTTGGAACACAGGAGAAATGTAGCAGGCCATATACTTCACTCCCTCCATCTCTAAATCCTTCAGTGATCTCCAGGAAAAGGCATTCTGTTTGTACTTAAATATAAGGTCTCTATGATCAGTACTGACAGTCTCTCCAGGTGAATTACATCTAGCATGGAGATATGCTCTGGAAATCAACAACCTTAACATTTTCTTGAATTCTTCATTGCAATTTCTCTGTTTTCATTTCATGCTGTCATGTTTTCAGTTGAGCTTGATTTGGGAGAAACTGTCACTGCTGAGACCTTGCAATCGCTTTCATAGGCCCAGATTGAGGGATGAGGAGCCTCCAATGAGGAAATAATGTGAAACCTCCCTGCCAGCTCCCAGTTCTGTACCTTCCAGAGGGTCTTGAATCAAACTTCTCTCACAGCTTAAAAATGTGCTTCACTTAAAAAATTGCTCCTTTCCACTACCAAGCATAACATAGATATCCATTCATAAACTGGTGTGCTTAGAGTGAGGGCCTCATTCTTTGGACTGAGTCTGAACGAACTGTTTTTACTCTCAAGAGGGTGCCCCATTGTTTTGTTACAACCATCCAGTATTTCTTGTGCAGTCCCAGTGCACTCCAAGTTTACACCCCACAGAAAGTGGGAGATCATAATTTCGATTGGTCTCATCACCATCAGGCTCCAAAGCATCTTTGCAGCATGGTTTACTAACTTGAAAGAATCTCTACTTAACATCCTCAGATTCCTGGAAAACAGATCTTTCTTGAAGCCAACTGGAAGACTGGTTACACTTTTGAATCCCTATTGGGAATTCTTTGGAAGTGGTGAAAATTTATGAGGGAGCTGGCATTATTTAATCTCTAGAAGAGAAGGGTTAGTTGGTATCTTGTCAAAGTAAATAACTGATGGGCAGGAGTAAAGAAAATGGAGCTGGTCTGTTGTGAGTGATGCCCAAGGGCAGGTCAAGAGACAATGGCCACAAATAGGGGAAAAGGAAATTCCCTTTAAATGTAAGAAAAAAACTCTTTTTACTGTGAGTGACCAAACATTGGAACATTGCTCAGACAGGTTGTGGGGCCTCCATCCTTCAAGATACTCAAAACCTGCCTGAACAAGACACTGACAACCTGCTCTAGGTGACTGTGCTTTCAATAGTGGGGCTGGACTAGATGACCTTCAGAAATCTATTCCAACATCAGCTCTACTCTGCTTCTATGAAATTTTCATTATTCCCTTACCCTGAGATTATTATCCTTGTACAGTTCCACTATTTTGCATTATGTTTTAAGCCTGAGGGCATTCTTGGCTTCAATCAGTGATCTAATAGTGTCAGGTACACAATTTAAAATTTTTGGCATCTTGCAACTCAGGAAGAGTTAGTGAAAAATAGAAGAAAAATAAATCCTGAAGGAAAGTGTCCAGCTGGTTTTGTCATTCTTAATAGCAGAAGTCACTCTGGAAACAAGCAAACAGTTTGAACAATCTATCATGAACTATGAAGGGAAGGAAGGTGTACTTTTCAGGGTCTCAGGAGTTTTCATTAATTTCCTTTAGCTATTTTCTCAAATTGACTCTCTCGCTTTCAGAAATTTCATAGAAATTACTAGACATTACATTAACAGTGAGAATGGCTCTTTATGCCTTTCTTGAATCTGCTAATACGTTTGCTTGTATCTCACTATAGCTGCAGTGGTAGAGAAGTTTTAATAGTTGCAGCTCACTGATTTCCTAATGAGATTAAAGTAATGAATCAAGAATGTCAGGAATGTCAAATTCCTTAGTTCTTGTATGGTTAAGAAGCTCCACACTAAGACTCTGAAGCCACTCTCCATTCTTAAGGAATCGAACAATTCATTACTAAAAGAAAGTTGTCTTATCATCGTTATCCA